CAGAGGAACTGCAGTAACATGTAAACTGGTTTCAGGGATGTTTTCACTCCTCCTGCTGAGTTTAATAAATGAGACTGAACTCTGTTGTCTGTGCAGCTGTGGCAGCCGGAGGGCCTGTAAGGTTCCCGTCACCGAGCGGGTGTTCGGTGAATATCCCTGCAAGGAGGAGACCAGGTACCTGGAGGTGTCCTACTCCTGCGTCAAACCACCTCCTCCACCTCCACCTCCTCCTCCACCCAAACCTGAATGTACGTAGAAACACACACACGACTCCACCAACAAAAAAACTTTTCCTCGTTTAGCCCTCGAAGCATTAAAGGTCCATTAAAGATGGAGCTGCTTTTAGAATGATTATAAAACCTCTTGTGACTCTCCAAAGTTACCTTTAGCTCTGCAGCAACAACAATCGTGTGTCATTCCATCTAAAATCAAACCAAGCTGAACAAAGTTCCCCCAGAACCTCCTCAGAACACCTGGTTCTGTATCAGCTTCATCTACTGACCAGAGTTCTACCTTCAGACTGTGAATGTTCCAGAGTTCCAGGTCCTTGAAGTCCACAGAGGAGGGTCCAGATTGATCACTTTAATGGACTTTTTCCATCATTTCTGAGCCTCAGAACTTCATCAGAACAGCAGATAGACACATGACATTTAGGAGGAAGAACACATCTGGGTTCTGGTAGAACCTGACACCAGATCAGTTCTACATCCATCCAGGTGTCTCAGTCTGAACACTGGACCTGGTTCTGTTATTTTTATTTTCCTATAATTCTGACACATTTTAAAGCCACTGTGGGCGGTTCTGAGTCCTTCTGAACATCTTATTAGATGATTTAATGTAATTTCTGGACGTTTTTGAGTCACTGAACAAACGTTGGTGCATGTTTGGATGAATCCTGAATCGTTCTTGACTTGTGGACGAGTCTGGAGTGATTCAGACTGTTGAAGTCATTCTGCTCCATGTTTTGATCTTTTTTTTTTTAAATCATTGTGGACTGAAGTTTATCAGTTTAATAAGATCCTGAACAGTTTTGAGATTCTTTAGAAACTTTAGTGCATTCTGGGTAAACTTTCCAGGCTCATATCAGCATGTGTGATGATGCTTCCAGAACCTACCAGAACCATCTACAGACAGGTTTGTTCAGACGGTCTCTGGTTCCTGCTGTTTGGACTCTGTAGACGTGGCGCCCCCTGGAGGCAACGTTCAGCATCACATCAGCACAAGTCATTTTGATCTTCTTCGTCTTGAGTCTTGGTTTGAGCTGCTCCTCACCTCTCTTCCTGTTTCTCTGCAGGTGAAGACAAAGCGGCCGCTGAAGCCTGATGTTCCACATTCAGCTCCTGTTCTGTGGACAGAACATCATCTTGTCACTAACTAGACTCGTGTCGTCCAGTCTCGTCTCTTCATTCTTTACTGCTAAAGCCTTTGAACCTGTAAAGTTTCTAAAGGGAGGATTTCTGTTTCTGCATTCCTAGAAAGTATCTCAGATTATTTACTCACGATGGATTTGAATCAATAAAATAAAAGTTTTCCTCTTTTATCTTTCATCCTGTGAAATAAACGGTTTTCTTGTCTTTGTTATTGCGTCTGTGCAGCAGCTGATAGAACAGTGAAGCTGTTTTCTGTCGTCTCAGCTGATCTTCACTGTGGATTTTAAAACAAATTATTATTTTATTGACGGATGTTTTCTGAAGGAATCGATCAGAGCTTCTCAGATGTCTTGGAAACCAGAAAACATTCACACTGACGAAGCTGAAATCACAGAATGTTCTTAAATGAAACTTAGTCAAACCGATTAATTGATTAGCAAAAAGGTTATCAGATTATTTTATCTAATAGTTAAACTGATCAACTAACTGCTGCAGCTTCAGTTATGACCTGAGCATTTGTGCACTTTTAATTCTTGTTCATGTTGTGAAATGTTCCATCAGTTTAACTCTTAAAAACATTCTGTTGGTTTTATTTTGTCGCAAAGGTTCAAATTAAATGTCCCAATAAAGAAAAAAATAATAATCTCCCAAATATAAAAGAAAAAATAACCAAATGTTTATTAGTGTTACTGAAAACTGTATAAATTGTCCAAAAATCCAAATAAAATAAAATAAAATGAGCATTAAAAGTTGAAAAAATATTGGAAAAAACAGAAATATTCATAAATGTCCTGTAAATTTATCAAATAAATAAATAATAATCCAGAAGTTTTAATAAAATATGAAAAATTTGCTCAAATACCCCAGATAGGGTGAAAAATATCAATAAAGAGTCTCTACATTTTGGAAATTATGTTTTTTCAAAAACGACAAAATATATTTAATAAATGTCCCAAGAACAGAAAATATAATAAAATAAGAATGTTTCTGAAAAATATTAATAACAACAATACTGAAGTTAAAATAGTAATAATGATGGTGATAAAGTTTCCCAAAAACACAAATATTATTAAAAATGCCCCACAAATGTTATTAAAAAGTTGTACTAGAATGTTTAAAAAGGTCAATAAAATGTCACAAATAATAATAAAATAACTCGCATCTCTACCAAAATAAAGTTTTCCATTTATGACCGATCAGACACCAGCAGTGTCAAAGCTTCTCCACCAGGTGGCGGTGTTGGCGTGTCCAACAGGAGTCACTTCTGACTTTAATCTAGTTGAGCAGAAAGCCCTGCAGAGAATTAAAAACGTCCTTTTTAAATATATTTAAGGTTATTTTTCCAAATCCGTTTAGTTATTTAATTATTTCCCCATTTCAGGACTGTGATGATGAAACAACATCTGGAGATCTGAATCCCTGAACACATCAGATGTACAAGTTTAACTTTAGTGAAGCTGCAGCCGAGCTTCAGGTTCTGGAGCTTCAGGTTCTGGAGCTTTCGATCCCGTCGCCTGGTCTTCCTCTTAAACACTCAGTATTGTCTTATTTACTGTACGTATTAAATGTCTACGGCATCGTTTGAGTTATCGGCTGTAAACCAGTTAAATGACAAATGAAGAGAATTTTCAGGGTTTGTTTAGTTTACATCAGTTAGAATAGAATAGAATAGAATAGAATAGAATAGAACAGAATAGAATAGAATAGAATAGAATAGAACAGAATAGAATAGAAGAGCAGCCTGAACACAGCCAGGAGCCTACAACAGAACAATAAATAGAATAAACAGTACAGCAGTTCAGGTTCAGGCCATATGTGGGTCGGTCACTTTGCTGAACTGAGAAGTCCAGTGGAGTTTGGGATGAAAGACTTCCTAAAGAAACCTCTGGTCAGAGGGCTTCTGTAGCACCGCCAGACTTCAGGAGTCCAAACCTGTTACAACAGGATGGGAGCTAAGATCCTCCTAGCTTTAGTAGTCCACATGTGGCTCAGAGACTTTTGGGCTTTACCCACCATTTTACCGCCCATCGTGACAACCCTGTTTCATTTATTTGAACAGCTTCGGTGACCAACCAGGCTGAGAGGTGGAAGTCAGGACAGTCTGTGTGCAGCGTACACCAGCCCAGGGATCTGTGGACCGACCCAATACAGCTCAGTCTGCTCAGAAGGTACAGGCCAGGTGTGCTTGTTGGACCTTATTATTATCATTGTTTTTAGTTTTTATATAAGAAAGGGGGGCCTTGGTTTGGTTTTTGTCCAAGACTGAACACTTTGAACTTTGAAGCTGTTCAGTGGTTCGATATTAAACTACAGCGAAATATGAACTCTGGTAATACAATGAATATGGTATACTACACTACACTATACTATACTATACTATACTACACTACACTACACTATACTATACCACACCACGCGATACTATAATATATTATAGTTTTCTATACTATAGATTTTTTTCAACTATACTATATTTTTTCTAAACTATACTTTTCTATACTACATTGTACTGTACTTTATCTTTTCTATACTATACTACACAGTATATTTCTATACTATTACTCTGCTATATTTTTCTGTACTATGATGTACTATACTGTACTGTATAAATCCTTTTTAAGTATCGTAGAGTAGAAATACTCTGGTGAAGTACAAGTACCTCCTGTTGTTGCTGTTGTTGTTGTTGTTGTTGTTGTTGTTGTTTCAGGACCTGACGGGGTGAAGCCTGGTACTTGGTGTGTGTGATCATCTGTCATGTCCTCCTATCAATCGATCAGTATCGATGGAGGTATTGGTTATCGGCCCGGTGAGGTCTCGTGACTCAGCGGCTCCGTTTCCGCTTCAGTTTGCGGAGAAACGAAAACGAAAGTGATCCGAGCTGAGCCAATCCGATCCGAGCCGCTCCTCAGTCCGCCTCAGAGCGTCGGAGCCTCGGAGCCGAGTGCATCATGGCCGAGTGTCCGCCGGTGGCCGTGGAGGGCGACTGGAGCCCGAACCAGAGCCGAACCGTGAAGAACAAGCTGCAGATCTACTTCCAGAGCAAGAAGCGGTCGAGCGGCGGAGACTGCCGCGTGGAGGCCGAGGACGGAGCCGCGAGGGCCGCCGTGTTCTTCAGGTCGGAGGAGGGTGAGTTGGACCGGACCGGACCGAGAGACAAGCCGGAGAATCACCTCAGAACCGACTCAGTCAGAGTTTAGTGAAGCTGCTGCTCGTGTAGAAGTCGTTAAAGCTCATGTTTCTGTCGCTTCTCACACGGTTCAGACTTTAAAACAAATCCGGTTTCCTGACTTTAAAATGAGTTTTAATCACATCCGGGGCCTTTAAAGTAGGTTAGTCAACTTTGTGAGGCTGTCAGAGGACTTCCCATCATGCCCTGCACCTGTAGGTCACGTTAGTTATCAACAACCAGCTGCTTTAGCTGCTGACGTTTGCTTTGCTGCCAGTAAAGCTCCAGGACCACAGGCTGGCATGTCAGTATGCTGTACATGAATAACCCTGTTCAACATCTGTCTGCCTACATCCACTAGGACGGGCTGTTTCCTTTGTCTCTATGCTCATAAACAATGTGTGCAATAAAAACCCTAATGATCAGTAGTTCTGTTCATCAGAGTCCATCCAGCACCACCGGTCTGAGCAGAGACGTTGTCTTTGTGCTGACATCAGTTTACAGCCTCTCTAGAAAAACACTCATCATGTTGTTTTTCTCTGTCTGACATGAAATCAGACTCAACTTCTCCTGTTTCAGGTCAGTCAGGATCTCCAACATTATCTCTGTTCACTAAACGCCAGAATGACGAGAGAGAGAATATTTTAGAGGATTGATTTTATTACTTTCTTCAAAGTCAGACAAACTCCTGGTGAGGAAGCAGCGTGTTTGAGGTGTGCACTAAAATACATCCACAGGTGGGCCTCCAGTTAGCTCACATGCTGTCAGTGAACCAATCAGAAGCTTCCAAAGCCATGACGTCATCATCTGGGATTTCCCAGATAGTCTGAAGGCATCTTAGGTTCAAGGTTCAGAAATCTTTAATATCCCTGCAGGGAAATGTTTGTGCAGCCAGCGGTGAGACAGTCGCACAGGCAACAACAACAATAAAAAGGACAGACCATCACTTCTTTAAATAGCAGCAGGGATGAAAGAACATTTCTATCCTTTGGTCCTGAACTTTAGCAGAACATACCTGCGCCCCAGCAGACGTAACTGGAACCAGTGGGCCAACGGACGGCTCTGGTCTGTGGTGATTAAACGGGCCTTGACTAGTGGATGTAAACTTCTCTTTCTCATTGTTCTGGTGTTTGGCAAATAGAAGTAATGTTGGTGATCTGACTGAGCTGGAACAGGAAGAGTTTAGTCTGATTGAATGTCAGACAGTGAAAAAGGTCAAAATGTTTTATGTCTTTTTGTACAGTGGATGCAAACGTCTGGTTTCAGCTGTGTGTATATTTTGGTTTGTTTTTATTTATTTTAGATACTTTATTGTCATTATACACTCATGTACAACCAAATTAAGGTGCACAGTCAGAACATAAACAACAATAACAATAAAAAGATGTCCATCATTCAGACAACACTCTAAGCACCACACTCACATCGGTACCAGATGTACCCGGGCCCATACAACAAGACAGTCACATGTTCAGATGTTACACTTCCACCATTTTAAACTCACTCTTTAAGGTTTGCTGCTGTAGCACCACAGTGGGACCAGCAGAGGCTCATCGTACCTGAAACAGACGGAAACCAGAACCTAGCCTCATGAGAACGGTTCAGTCTGAATGATGGAGCTGTGTAGTTACCGTTTCTTCTAGACTGCACACTGACACTGTTGCTCCGTGTGATTGCAGTGAGAGAACGAGTCCTCGCCAGAACCGACCATGAGATCGTCCTGGACAGTCAGACCTTCCAGCTACGGCTCAGTTCTGCAGCAGTAAGTTGGATTCTGTCATTGAACCGTCACGTTCATGTTTCCTCGAGCTTCCTGTGTTCAGTCCGCTGATAGCTCCACACGGTTCATTGATGTGTTCATCGAATGTCCCTGGAACAGAAATATAACGACATCACCATATTTCTGAAATTCTGAAAATGAAAAATATAAATAAAAAGTTCCAAAAATAAATATTTACAATAATAAAATAAGAATTCTAAGAATAAATATTATTAATAAAAAGGTCTGAAAAATGTCCCAAAAAGGTTTTCTGGTTTGTTTTTTATGTTTTAGCGGATAGTACTGACCGGCTCCAGCCGGGTCACGTTTCATTTACTGGTGTTGATCCATAAAGTTCCTGTCAGTGTCTCTCTATGGATAGATCCATGGTTCTACTAGAACCCAGTCTCTGGTCACATTTCATGAGGCTCTAACATCAGTAGAACCTGATGTGGTGAAGTTGGACCAGACAAGGTTCTGGTTTTACATGTTGAGACTAAATGCTGATGTGGATCATTGGTAGGAACCAGAACCTGGAGTTCACAGGTTCTAGATGTTGGTTCTACATGTTGGTTCT